TACACTAGTGAGGTAGCGCATTACAACTTGATGGCTAGAATTCACCATTAGCACTAAGGACTTCACACATATTAGTTTGGTCACATTAGTAAGTGATAATTCAGTGTATACATTTAATTACACATTTGATTTGTCAATATTTCACATTGATCATTGAATGTTATCACGGATATGTCTGTTTGTTTCACTGTCGAATTTTTTGTCACATTTTAAGAGTTCGTCTTAAGTAAGACACTAGACTAGTCAGCTATCAATATATGATTGTTGTATGGTTGAATATTTTGTGAAAATTAACTCAAGTTAATGATATTTTCTAACATGAATTGACATGAATTGACAAGTCATTGAAAACAAATGAAAATTGAACAACGGGTTCTTCTTAGTTTGAGATGTTTATGAATGCAGCCGTTGTGAAAATCTCCTCTCTATAAACTTTACAGCATTGGCAACTTTATCGTTTTTTACATTAGGGATTAGATAACTTTTAGAAATCAGGAGGCACTTAATATTTATTTTATTCAACACTATATAATAACGAAAGCTTGACATTTGAAAATACAGGATACTGGCAGTCAGTTAGAAAAGGGGCAGTCGCAGTTATTGTTTCTAGTAAGAACTTTAGCCTAACCAATGAAATCTAATTCCGTGATTGGTATATGATTTTTGAGTGTAACAGTAATTATTGATAAAGCGATTCTTATTGCTGTCTTAGTGTGAATTGAGTAGTTTATTTATAGAGCTTTCTTCATCCTTCTCGACAACCACAGTATAATCAACTCAAACTTGAGATAAATGTGAGCTACTCAGTTTTCTCGTCGTACGACCGAAATCATCCATATGAGCTACTAATCTTCAACACCATCTCATGTCGCGTCGCGTCCCGATTGTCCCTCCCCCGATAAAATAACCTAATTTACTCTTTTGTTTCAAAACTATACTTATCTCACTGAATCACACTTCTTGAATAATATCTTCTAATCCTAACCTCTCCGATTACTCCTAATACCTTTACTAGCTCTACTACTATTGGATTTGAATTGACAATTACATCTCTATGCTAATGTGGTATGGCAACATGAACTGATGTACTTACGTACGAAGTTCTAAGTTGCATTTGACTGACTGACTGACTTTTGTTTCAAAATGATTGATGGTAATATTTTCACTCCACCTGGAGCCCCTCTAGGGTTACTAACATTCCCAAGCCGGGGTAAAGGAGGATTGTTAATGTGTGATTAGCGACTCCATCCAGTCGAAAACCAACTTGTTGAAAATATTTTCAGTCAATGTTCTATTTACTTTTTGAGTTCAATTTTATGCATTTGAAGTTTCTTAGCTCGAATGATTTTCATCAAAAGTTTGTGTAATTTTTTTAAGCGATTTTGAACACTATTTGGTGGCCCGTGAGATGACTCCTTTACTTATGACTTTCGAGTATGTTATGAAATAAATCTCCCCTTCAATTTCTGTATAACATACTTGGGCAAACCCTGTTTGTGCGATGGCGGTCATCAAAAGTTAAATACGAATTCGGTGGGATGGGTCTATTTCAAGCAATCATTCATGTAGATAGATAGACAGAAGAACACAGCTTGAGAGCAAAGCAAAGTGCAGAAGGCCGTCGAGCCAACTCGATGTAATGAGGCATGACAAAGCTTTCTTTCAACCTACTCCTACACCACGAAACATAGCTCGACGAGGCAGTCAGTGGTTTGGCATAAGTCTCAACCATCTCAACTGATGAAGTTTCAATACTTCATCTATTGATCTGCCATCCTTAGCTAGTACTGTTTTCCTAACCACTGAATCGCTTACTCGATTGTCTCAGGTTTTACGAGCAATGCTTTGAAGACATCTATCATCGAAAACTAATAACCTATGAATGTCTTCTACTCTGGCCAGCCGTGTTTCACAGCCATAAAGTAGGACGAAGCGAACTGGTGCGCAGTAGACTGGTCCTTTGGTTAGCAAACGGATATCTCTCCTACGCCATAAGCGACGCCATTCGGCAAGAGCCAATCGAGCCTTCTGTATCCGTGCTGAGATTTCATCAGTCCACAGGCCATTGGCACTGATGGGACTCCCCAGATAAGTGGAGCGGTCAGCATGCTCAGCTGCTTCACTCCCTATCTCTACGTCTGCGCATGCTTCATGTCGATGGTTATGACAATGTTAACTAAATAATTTCATCATGTCAATTTCTATGTATATATCTTTCTCTCTCTCTCTCTCTCTATGAATTCCATTCTACGCTTTTTTTATTGTAAAACATAAACTAATTATGTTTGAATGCAGTTTACCGCCAAATGTATGTTCTTTTTAAAAAAATTTCTATTAGTTTGTTTTTGTTGTGTTTATTGTTATCGGTAAATTAATCAGCTGTCATGACAATTTTTCCATTTGTTCTTATTTTGCATGTATTTTGTGCACTTCATTAGCATTGAATGATTTTTATGGAAGGAGTTTTATTTTTAAAAATAATTTCGACAATCCAAAAGAAACCTGAAAGCATTGGATGGTTATTCTGTTCTGGTATGTAAAACAACGATCTCCATAATACTATTATAGAAAAAAAAACTCACAAGTGTGCTTACCAGTGACTTAGTTCATGAGTAAATTTCTCCAAGTTCTAGTGTAAAGCCGTGAACAATGGAGTGCAACCCTGTTGAGTGTACGCAATAACTGTCGAATACAAATGACGTGAGGTTGCGCAAAACCTTAGGTTGTTCGAAGTTAGACATCAACACCATTGGATGCCAACTCAGTGGTGTATAGTTTAAGCGTTTGCTCATGAGACCAGAGGTCCTAGGTTGGAATCCTTCGGTTAGCAGAAGTTGTGGATGCGCACTGCTGATGAGTACCATACCAAGACGAAATAGATGTCCAGTGCTTTCAGGTTTCTAATGTTGTTGGTCTAACACTGATCGATTCATGATTTCATTGGATAAGAAAGACCTTCCGAAAACTATAATGCGATAATAAATTCAAATTTCCATAGGAGAGCTACTAAAAACTATGAACACCGTTGACTACTTTCTTTATTTATTTAAGACCAGTTAGCATTCAGAAATCATGACCGTATGTAGGATAAAATTTAGAACTATCGAATCTTCTGCTTAGCGCATTGTCTTTCAGAATAATGGTATGATGTAACATTTGTTAAATCCCATTGTTAATTAGCCTCCATAATCTGTACATGATTGAATATAGTTATGCATGTAGGATTTTGATAGATTCTTGAGGAACTTAAGAAAAAATTGTATTAGGGTTGGTCTTAGAGACTTGGGACCGTGACCGCAGGGTCCAAAGGGCAGCTGTTTGAGGTCGGTCACGCCAGAGCACTTTTTATGGGAAGTATTTGAAGTGTTGGCTCTGCTCTTCAAAATACCTTACTGCCGGAGACAGAAAACCGAGAAGTAAGATGAGGTGTGACATTTTTAAGGTTGACCTTTTCTAACCCCTTCCTTTAGTGCTAAGAAGGCAGCATTGCTGCAGATGCTTGTTTTCCGAGGGAAACACCTTACTGCTGTCATACCTTTCTACAGTCAGCAAGTACGACTTCGACCTCAGACGTTGAGATGCTGCTCTTAATCTCACCGTTCTCCAATCGACCTGCCTGGTATGATAAGACGTAAAAGAACATATATATTCCAGCCAATGTATCTCGGTTGGTTGATCACGATAAGCAAACTCAACCACTAGGTCAAAGTAGCAGCTACAGTCGGCCATAATAGAGCCAGAAATTTCAATACGAAGTTGTAATAAAATTGTTTTTATTTAATTTCATTTAGTTTATGTAAATGTATGTTCCTCTTTCATATAAATTCATGAATATAATTTTTACTATATTAATTGTGTAATAATACTGTATCATACGTGATTTGTGCAATAATGAAAGCAAGAAAACAATTGCAATCTGTATTGCTTTTTTTCTCACTGCATCTGAATATGTTTTTCTTTGTTTTATGATCTGAGATCAAAAAAAAAGAAACTCTGCGATCGGATGTTTCTTCATCCACAAACTTATGTAGCAGTAATAATAATAGTAATAATCACACCGCTGAATCTGCTTACTCATAAGAGATTGTAATCGGTAGAGAATTACAATTATTGACAATTGTATTTATATATCACGAGTTGTTTGAAATTATGCTCACATGCACACACACACACAGAGAGAGAACTGGAAGCCGACTCAATAGTTAAAAGGCTAAACTATTCACACTGCCCCTACCCTAATGATGTTGGATTTGTGGATACCATATTGTCAATGAGTCCTTTTTTTTATAGTAGGCAATAGCTATCTGGTACTTTATGCACAAACTCTTATTGTAATAGCTGTTGTTTTCACCATTCAAGTAATCTCGTTTACAATAATAATAATCGTAAGTTTGATTGACAAGTTATAAGAACTATTGAAGCCCACACCTTTTTTTTTCTAAAAAGATTTACAAAACAAAATACCTAAATGAGAATTCTGTTTTGCTTCTATTTACCTTCTTCCTTCCTTCCTTCCCTCCCTCGCTTTCCCTTTCTCTCTCTCATTTCATTTCATTTATTCTTCTCAATCAATGAGTACTTTTATCACCTACTACTTTTGTTTACTACTACTACTACTACTACTGTGGTGCGAGCTACTTATAAGTAGTATATGACGTGAGTGTCAACGTAATGTCTGGCAGCAGAAGATAGGGGAAGATCAAGAAAGGAAGAGTTAGAACACAATGAAATTTGTATGAAACGCATGAATAGTGACAATGGATTGATGTTTGGCAACAGGAACAGTCCAGTTCCATAGGATGAACTGATCTTTTGCAAATGGACGATTTACGATATGGTTTTCCGATTTTACTGAGTAACTCTGTAATTTTCGTTAAATACAATTCGGTTGCCCTCACCTGCGTTCTCCTTCACTACAGTAATACCACTACTACTACTACTACTCCGACAACAACAACAACTCTCATTAATACTATTTTCTTTTGTATATTTTTTCACAGTTTTATGGAATCTATTGGAATGAATGTTGGGGAAGTTATTCTATGATTGTTGTTTTCATTGTTGTTATATTTTGATAACACAATAATGATGATGTTGATGATGGTGATGCATTTTATTCTAATTCGGTTGTTTTATCCGGGTGTTTGAGTCATTCAGCATATATCCATCCATATCGTGAACATGAAAAGAGTGAGAGAGAGAGAGAGAGCGCGCGCGCGAAAAAAACGGCGTTTTTAAACGGTGTATAACCGCTACACAATGGTGTATACACAGGTTGTTTGGCTAGGTGTCCATTTATTTTGTCTTGAATTTTTAACCAACCTTTTATAGAATTGGATAAAAACAAAAAAAACAATGTGTTCAGTGTTTTAATTCGTGGTGAGCTTTGTAACTAACGTGTTTTAAACAAAACAAGACTTTTCTGTCCAATATAATATTATTGTTTTCTACATTGAAATCGTGAATGAATCATTGTTAGACTAACATTCGAAACCTTGAAGCACTGGACAGCCGTTTCATCTTGGTATGCGACTCATCTGCAGTGTACAAAAAATAAACTAATCGATCGGTTTCAAATCTAAACATCATAGTCAAGTGGTTAGGCTTTCGTGCACGACATCATAGGTTCTGGGTTCGACTCCAGCTCGGGACCTCGTGGCTACGCACACCAGGTTCGCACGCGGGAATCGAACCAAGAACCTTTCGTCTCTCTCGCGAGCGCTTATATCCTTGTGTGTGGGCGGGTATTCCCCCACTAGAATGAGTACGCCGTCAACTATTGTCCGGTTTTCCATGGTGGCCGAACATTTGTCGGTTCAGAATTTCAATGAATCTTATGGAAGTTCGCACCAAAGTGGCATCTTTTATTCAAATTTATTTTTGGAGTTTTTTTATTTATGTTCCATTGCTTTACTCATCCAGTTTGTACTTCATGTCTATCCATCAACTTCTCGTTTCGTTTGCTTAAATGTTTGTTTTTTCATTTTTAACATTTTTTGTACTTCCTCAATAATTCATTGTATTACTTAAAACACTTTTTTCAGTAGTATACACGTTTCCAAATCACTGGAATAATTAAATTTGGTTGATTATGGAGGTAGGGAGTTCTTTTCCACTAAACTGAAAACAATGCCGTAATCATCTCTCTGAGCTGAACTTAAACATGTTTAGTTAAAATTATTTGATTGAATTCTTTTGGAAAGTGGGATTTTTAGTTTTTTTCCATAAATTTGATCTCCTTTATTTGCTTATTCAAAAAAATTCCATAACTGTTTCGTTACATAAAATCAATAATTATGATTCACAAGTATGAAAGTTAGTTGACCCTGTAAGCTTTTATTAAATAAAATGAATTATTTTTTGTGAACATTAAAGTTGTAGAGATTGTTGTTTATTACTGGAATCATGATTTAATCATTGTTGAATCACTATTGGAAACCGGAAAGTACTGAATGGCCATTTCGTCCTTGTATTGGACTCATCAACAGTACGCATCCATGACTTCGGCTACAATGAGGAAATTGTTGAGGTTCTAGTTAGAAGACATGACCAGTAGATGTCAATCCTGTCGAGTGTAGGCAGTTACCCACCGAAGACGATGGGTATGGTCGCTCAAAAACTTAGATTAATCAAAGCTAAACATTCGTCCAGAGATCAAGCTTTCGCGCACGAGACCAAAGGTCCAATCCTGCAAGTAGCAGGAGTCATGCGTGCACACTGCCGATGAATCCCATATCAGTACAAAACGGTCGTCCATTACTTTCAGGTTTCTAATGGTGGTCTAACATTGATCAATTCATGGTTTCAATAGGTGATTAGCGTGGTGACTTGCTGGTTAAAGTACTCAGCTTTCAACTAACTATATCGGAGGAGGTCAAAAAACCTTTTTGACTTCAGCTTATTTGGATTTACGAAACTAGGTATTTTCACTAATATTTATGTCTCGAAACAAGTACTTGGACTTTACTTTTAAATAAGTAGTCATTCCGTGTCAGGATAACCAATCTTTATCCCAATATTTTCTCAAGAAGGTTCAACTTCTAGCATTTTTCAAACATATTTTTACCCGTTTATTTTGTGAATGTTGTATATCAGTGTTAGTTTGATTTATCAGAGAATAGTGGTTAAATTCACTTGAATAACGTATCAAGGTTCAGAAGACTGTCTTGGTCAGTTGAAAATATTTTTATAAGTATATAAATAGTATTATATGTGATTCTACGATAGCTGTACCTTAAAAATGACGATCTGAAAATGGTTGTCCTCGTAGAATGCGTATGGAAATAATAAGAATAAAGCCAGTTTGTCGATAATCAAAGAGGAACAACAAGAAAGGGGATCTGAACTGTGATTACTAATGAGTAGTAATATAATCGTCATAAACTAAGAATTTCAGAATATATGGGTGTAATTTTTCATTACAACCATTGTAGTGCATTTCAATTTGTCAGATGAAAAAAATGAGAATAGCCTGGAAGTTGGAGCTTGAATTTTCTTCAGCGAAAACTACGCTCTTATATATATATAACTCATTCACTCATTGAGGGAATAGGAAAAGTGCTTGAAAATGCCTTTACTACTACACTCATATTACACATGTGAAAATAAATGCTCTATATATTCACACACACACGTACCCTATAGTTTGTCTGCACGGATGCAGAAAGTTCGATTGGTTTTTGCCAACTTGCGTCACCTATGGCACAGGTGAGATATCCGTTTGCTAACCAAAAGATGAGTCTACTGCGCAGCAGTTCGCTCCGTCCTACTTTATGGATGCGAAACATGGCCAGTCAGAGTAGAAGACATTCATAGGTTATTAGTCTTCGATTATAGATGTCTTCGAAGCATTGCTCGTATATCGTGGGACAACCGAGTAAGCAATGCTATCGTTAGGAAACGAATACTAGGTAGGGATGGCAGACCAATAGATGAAGAATTTAGACTCCACCATTTGAAGTGGTTAGGAGATGTGTTACGTATGCCCAACCACCGACTGCCTCGACGAGCTATGTTTTGTGGTGTAGGAGTAGGTTGGAAGAAAGCTAGGGGCGGTCAAACCAAAACATGACACAAATCCATGAAGTCATTGACAAGTGGACAGGGTCATGTTGGTAATTGTAGACTACCAGGTTGGGGTCGGCGAAATGATCGTAACCGATGGTTAGAGAATTTCAATGACATGGCTCAAAATCGTTCGTAATGGCGCAAATGCATCCACTCTTTGTGTCTTATGAAATTCTAATCTCCTGAATTTCTCACTACCTCTCTCTTTCTAAAGTTATCTCATTGAATTGTACTTCTTGAATAATTTCTTAGAACCCTAATCTTCCCTTTTACCATTAATACTCCTATTAACCCGTTTACTATTTGATTTGAACTGACAGTTGCGTCTCTCTGCTAATGTGGTATGGCAACCTGAACTGATGTACCGACGTACGAACTTCTACGTTGCAACTGTCTGTCTTTCAGTCAGTTCAGATTGGGGTTTTTCTGGAGATTATTGATTTTATTTTTTTAGATCAAAATCGATAAAATATGAATTACTATTAGGAATTGCGGTGTTGTTGATTGATTGTTTGACCCTATAGTTTTATATATTTACACATCGTTTAACATGCCTTGAATCCATGAACTCGTCTCTGACTTGATTTTGAGGCCCCATGTTCATTCGTGTGTGTGTGTTGATGTATTTTCTTATCACACATACATTACGCATATGCGCTTTGTATAATGAATGATAAGTTATTTTCGCTGTATCTTTTTGCATACACCTGTAACATAAGTACACTGTAGTTTTGATTATTTCTGAGGGTATATTTTAGATAAATGAATTATCCAATGGCCTCTCTAATTTTATCTAAAACCAGATGGGACTAGTTATCATTTACTAGTCAAGTTTCTATTCGCAGATATTTCTTTTTTCATGATTTAATCTCATAGCTAATCAAATTTTTTTTAGTTAGTTATCTGTTTTTATATACATAACACAAGACACAAAACAGAAAAATGGCGCGAAATTAATGCAATTATTAAATAAACATTATTTTTTGTTTGTTATTGATGTATATTACTGAAATCATGAATCAATCATTGTTAGACCATCAATCAAAAATCTGGAGGCAATGAACGACCATTTCATACATACATACATACATACACGACTCATGCCACTCGCAGGATTCGAACCCAGGACTGTCGGTCTTGCGCACGAACGCCCAACTTTTGGACTACTGTGCCGGTGGAGTTCAACCCTGTCGGGTGCGAGCAGTGGGTGTGGTTGCGGAAAATACTTAGATTGATCAAAGTTAGACACTAACACCGTTGAATGCCGGCTCATCGGTCCAGAGACTGAGCGTTCACGCGAACGTCCAAAGGTCCTGGGTTCGATTGCTGCCAGTGGCGAAAGTCGTTGATGCACACTGCTGATGAGTTTTAATACTGGAACGAAACGGCTATCCAATACTTCCAGGTTTCTAGTGATGGTCTAACAATGATTGATTCATTACTTCAGTAATAGACAACAAATTCCATAATTCGATAATGAAAAAATTTATGTGATTAGCTTTTGGTGATTACCGTGAAACCTATTTTTAAGTATCACTAATCAACTATATTTTCACTTGTTAATTGTTTTATAATAAAAAGCTGTGTTCAATTTTTCTGTCCGTTATGTTTGTTAATGAACGTAACTTCTTTAATAATACCGGTTAATTCCTAACCACAGATACGAACTTTTCTCCATCGACTTTGGTTTAGCTAACCATATAGTATCAGTAGGTGTCACGCTCAGTGTAGTTCATACCTTAAATACCCAAAAATTTTAGATTGATTTTATTTTTTTATTCTTCTGGTTAGCGTCTTTTTTTTTCTAGCGAGTTAGTTTTCTACGGGATTGGGTCGCTAACTTGATCATGCCCAACCCTCTTCCTCCTTCTCTTTTATCCGGGCTTGGGACCGGCAATAGCCCCGAAGGGGCTCCAGGTCGAGTTAAGATTTTAGATAATTAATGTAAATCCAATAAATAAATTTAGGAATGTAAACAAGTGTAAATCTACACTGGATTAGGTACTATTTACGCAAAGTTATCTGTCTCTATAATCTCACCTATAATATGAAACTAATGCTTGAGTTTATCTTATCATTTAAAACATATAAACATTTCAAAATGAATTATGAATAGGATAGTTTATTGTTGTGCTTGTTTCAAAGAATCAGTCGCAACGATTCAAATTCAGCCTGTTGAACATTTGGCAACTTGTTAATTTAATCTCTCCTCACATTATGTTCATTATTCTCTTCTACACCTTTCAACATCTTTAATGATTCTTTTTTTTCATATATGTTCCGTCTAGCTAAGCTATCGAATTAGATTAATGCGAATTATTTCTATTCTCTTTGTTTCTGTTTGCTTTTACACATACTATTG